ATCCTAACTTATGATTTTGGCATTAGATAAGTAAATTCTATTTTTTTCATGAGTTGCTATTGAGAAGGGAGCCCAGATGGTAGACCTGTGCAAAATCTGCAGAAATACATATGACCAGAAGCCAAGAATTCCGACAACGCAATTTTAAATGTAGCCCTGTCAATGAAATTTCCAACAGTTCACTAAGTACTTGATTCTGACTGCCTACTTGAACGTGATTCTGCATGCACTGCAGCTTTTGTGACATTGGCAATCATGCACATACAGAGGGCAATGACACATCAATTTTAAGCTGGTGATGTCGGAGCACTTTTTGTGTCTCATTTCTCCCTCTGGGAAGGGGACGGGTCAGAGAGAAAAAGACAGGTACACAAAAAACTTTACAGGTTTGCTAAACTTGTTTTCATGCATGTTGCTGTGTTAAAAGACAAACAACATCTACATATACTAGTTTTCATTGGAAATGAATAGAAGGTAGTAGTTTTTCAAATCTTAGACAATACTTTCATCAACCTATGCATAAGGGCACTATTTTTTTTCTCACTTGCTAGCAGTGATGGCTTGTTACTAGTTCACCAGCATTTTCGCTAATCTGCATCTCCCCCCCAATTTTAACCTTCTTTTTCGGCAGAAGTGTTTTCTGCCCCAACATCATGCATAAGTGTGCACTCGGTACTGACTGTTAATGTTTAATTGTTGATGAGTAGGGCTAATCATAAATCATAACACTACTCAAGTAAATTAAACACACAGACAAAGTGTCTACCGGCTGAAAACGGTTTGTTTTATTCACAACCCAAGAGACAGAAAAAAAATTCATATCAGTGTGAACAGTTTATGTACATGTACAGTATTTTCTATGTAGTACAATGTATGCATATGTACATGTACATGTACACGCACATAATGTACATGTATGCACGCCTGGCGAAATGTACACAATGTACATGCAGTTGAACATGGTTAGGAAGAGTTATAAGACGTCATATTTATTACAAGGACAATGTTAGGTCCCAAGTCTTGGTGTTTCTTTTTTTTTCTTTTCATTACTGTTTCATTACTGATAACACAAGAAAGCTATTTTAACAAGGTTATTAATGAAGTCCCAAGGACCTTGTTATAATGTGTTCCACTGTAAATTATGTATTTGTACATGTTCGTTCTCGACTGTGTCCAGAACCTATAGCGTACGAACCAAACACAAAATCACAACTGAGACATCACTGTTGTCACAACTACCAATGACCGATCAGAAAAACCAGTATTGCATATTCATAGCACACATAATGCATATGTACCGGTATATTTTCATGTACATGTACACACACACTACACACACGGCACGTCATACGCGTGTGCTGCATATTCATGAATTTACATGTACATGTGTACCTCTCCGAGCAGGATGCAATGCATGAACGTACATGCCGATTTAGATTTTGCATGCAGAACCAACGTCAAGTCATAGACCGCTGGTAGTACAGTAAATGGCGGACAGTTACGTGGGATCGCGCAGCATGGGCGTTGCGGAACAGATGTTTTAAACGATTTACTGTATGCCACTCCATTCATGGACTTCAGCATTACTTCTACTTGGCTGATACCAGGGACCTAAGTAGTCTTGGTTGCAAAAGGTGCTGTACTGTACATGCATAATTTGGAAAGTTCCCTAAAAATGCAGAAATGTGTGATTTACATGCATATATTGCACAAAAGCTATGGAGGCCTTCTGTTCTACCTTGAATGACATCATGCTTTGCCTCATGAATATGGAAACCTTCATTAGCATACATGTAAATCTAAAATGTTGAAATTTCTCCCTTTTACTACGACAAAGGAAGTGGAAAGTCACTGTGATGTGTACATGTACCGATAAAGAAAGCTGTCTTTTGTGTGTTTAAGTCATAAAAATCCTATGTGACGGTTCCTTTAAACTATTGACTAATTCAATTAGACGGCCTAACTGCGGTGGTACTGCACTCACGCGCACATTCTTCAGCTTGACGCGCGCGTGCGTTTGGCAAATCACGACACCCTGTTGGTCGAAAAGGCACATAATGCGCGCGTACCACCTGTCCACGCGCGTTGTGCCACCACAGTAATGGCTTCTAATTCTGGTGGTCGAATTACACTGTACACCGTACTGCAATCCGCATACATGTACATTACAAGCTCAGACCTGACGCTAAAATCCTCCTCTTTATTCACTTCTGCAGTGTCTGCCCTATCCTTCTTGAACCTGTGACTTTCTGGAAGTATAACGTGCATTCCCCTAAAACAAATGAATTTTTAATAGACTTAATGGCATTATGCATTCATACCCAGCCTTTCATACACCGCTAATTGCTGGCCGGGGCTATCAGATCGGTAAATGGAAATCGCATTAGTAAACTGGCGACATCAAGAAAGTACATGTGTCTCAGAAGGCTATTACGTGTGTGCAATCGAGTTACTAGCTATTAAAGTGAAATTTATACCTAAACCAAACAGCCCCACGCTTTCAATTTGATTAGTGTTAGCCATGCATGTTCAAACATCATGCCTAATGCTTTATAAAAAAACAGGAACGTGTATACTGAGCCTGAAGATATGAAGTTAAGTGTACGTACTGTACATATTCATGGCGTCTTTTGAACTGGTCGTTACTGAAAAGTGAAAACTAACAAGCAACCACTTTCATGTCAAAAAGCCAAAAATATGAACTGTACAATTCAGGTGAGATCAAAAGTTAGAAGAGAAATGTCTCACAATCCAAACCACTTCGCCTTCCTCAATTTGACCAAATGTAGCAGCATATTGACTCAACCCCAAGTACTATTCTGCCCATACCATGCACAAGTAAACAAATGAAACAGTACACACATGTACATGTACATTCTTGAAGTGGAATATGGAGGCATTCCATTTCTTTTTTCCCCCTCTTTTCACTTAGCAATCAAATTACTCCTATTGATTTTGCAAGAGTCCCATGGCAGGGGTGACAAACACTTTGATTGGGTTAATGAAAAACCTCGCAGGGAATCTGCACAAGTTATTAGGGTACTGTTTGAGGGTGAAAAAAGAAGAGTGTAAAAGATAGCAGGCCAACTGTTTTGGGTCAATCAAATTAATAGCTTTTAGATTGAAAGAGGCCAGGGAACTAGGCCATGGGTCCCAGCTCATGGGGAATTGATTAGTATAGTTTTCAAACTTCAAAGTGGGACAAGACCAGTTTCTATTCTGAAATGATAGGAAAAGTTTAAGGGAGACTTTTTTCTTTCATTCTATTTACAACTGGTAAAGATAACTTCTAATTTGGGTAGTGGCAAAAATACGGCACGTGTACCTACAGCTCACAGGCCGCATTTAAAGGTCTCGATACGTGGGGTGCAGTGCACTTATTCAAGCCCCACTGAAAACAGTGTTAAAATCAACAAGGTTCAGGGCTCAGTAACAGTAACATGCAAGCTGACATTACTGCAGTTCCTCAAACAAACACTGATTTATTGCCATGTCCTAGATCTTTCCATATCTTTTCAATTTTCGGTGGGTCAGCCAATTACATTTTTAATCATTCACACAAAACACACTCCCCTCCCAAAAAGTTGTAGCTTCCAAGCCTGCAAGTACCAGATAGCCATTTTTCAAATGCCATCTCCCTACTTTCTCAGGCACTTAGGACCATTTTTCAACTTTGCCCTTAGATGGAAGCTCCCAAACCCAGGGAGTAGATCCCCCCCCCAATCTTTTTACAATCCCACCTTTTTTTCAGCCAAACAATCCCCTTTTTCAAAAACAAACTGCAGAAGCACTTTTCATGCAAATCAACTCAGCAGAAATTATCACTTGCACTTCATCCATGGGGGCAGCACAACACTGTTAGCTGTTTGTTTGCTTTTTAAATTTTTTGCATTTGGGTGTTTGTTTTGTATGGAAGTGTATTTAGGACATGGTAAAAAAAAATTAATTTGTACATACGTATTACTCTTGTACCACCAGTTTTTGGTACTATGAATATTTCATATGCATGGATGATTACTATTTCATACGTACGGATTATTATTTCATACATACGGATTACTATTTTGTATATATGGATATACGTATGGATTATTTTATATTTACGGATTACTATTTCATATGTATGGATGATTACTATTTCATACGCACGGATTACTATTTCATACATACGGATTACTATTTTGTATATATGGATATACGTATGGATTATTTTATATTTACGGATTGCTATTTCATATGTATGGTGATTACTATTTCATATGCACGGATTACTATTTCATACATACGGATTACTGTTTTGTATATATGGATATACGTATGGATTATTTCATATTTACGGATTACTATTTCATATGTATGGATGATTACTATTTCATACGTACGGATTACTATTTCATCCATACGGATTACTATTTTGTATATGGATGAACGTATGGATTATTTCATATTTACGGATTACTATGTCATACATATTGATTAGTAATCTATATGTTTCATTGCATGACTATACCTCAGTTCATAAGGGGGACCAAGAGAGGGAGTGATTTTGCTTGCAACAAAAGCTCCTTTGGTAGGAAATTGACTTTGCTGGTTCACGAATGACCTATGAGATGCATGCGTTGTGTATGCATCTCTACCACAGAGTTACAGTTATTAAAAAACTCTATGGTCTCTACCAATAAATTTCCTTATTTATGAAACCACACGTATGAAACAGTAATTCATATGTACAAAATAGTAATGTGGGTTTTGGTTTGTGTTTTTTGGTTTGGGTTTGGGGTTCTGGTTTGGGGTTTTGAGTTAGATTTGGGCTTATGGGTCTGGGGTTTTGGTTTAGTTTTTTGGTTTAGATTTGGGCTTTTGGGTCTGGGGGTCAGTTGGGGGTTAGGGAGTTTCAGTTAGGGTTTTGGGGGGGTTGGGGTCTAGGTTTGGGGTCTAGATTTTGGCTTCTGGCTTGGAAGTTTGGGTTTGGTTTTTTCTTTTAGTGAAAACATTCTTACCTTTGTATAAAGGGAGTTGTTTTTGACAGATGCAAACTGGATTTTTTCTTTTGGCTGTTTCTGTGGGATAAAATGAAAGTTGATAACAGATGAAAGAGATTAGGCAGAAACAAAATATACAATAACGACCGCTGATAATTTGATATGAGACATCTGAAATGGGTTGGAGAAGTCCCACCCAAATCAGTGTTGTCGTATGGGCTTGGCATATACATATAGGCCTACTATGACATTCCCTAAGCAATGGAAATGTGTAAGAGCGATGTTACTGAAAATGTAATGCACTGTGCGCCCCCACCTGGCTAGACACATTTCATTATTCAGCTGTGAAATGGTCACACACTGCATCATTAATACCAGCTGTCCCATTCCCCTGCACACAAGTTGGCTCACAAGACAAGTTCTCCCTTGACCATGCAATGACCTGTACCCCAGTGACTGGTCTATCCAAATTCCCATGAAATAACAGTCAACATTTTAGCAAAAAAACAAATTACTATTAAAACAAAACAGTTGTAAATTTGTAATGTATCCTGATTGGCACATAGGCCTACGGCTTACATATCCTGAAAGTACCAGTAGTATGGTGGTGTACATTTACATGTAAAGGTATCTTCAATTATGTGTATTATGAAGAGGACCATTGTATAATTATAGGTGTACCAGGCATTCTCGCATTAGAATCAATCACCTTCGTTTTAAATCTTTGGGGGGGGGATCTTTTTAGAAATCAAATTATACATGTAACAGCACATGTACATATATCAACTTTCCATAAACCCTGTGTAGCTTGGAAGTACCGGTACTGTGTCGCATGTAAAGAGGAAATGTGTTGCAGGTGTCAATGCTCATGAAATTGTTTGTTATTTCATGACTTTGACAACTACATCCTTTTCACATTTAGATTTCACATAATTCATCAGATCAAAATCCGCTTTTCCACTAGGAATGCACGTTTCACATTAAATAAGTATAAGTGCATGTACAGCAGGAGGGTTAAAAGGACTGCACGTACATGTACAATATACATGTACTTGTTCAGGTCAATGTGCACATGTTTGAATCCACTTCCAACTTCCTAATCATGCCTTCTGGATAACGTCCAACAAGATCATCAGGGTTATCCCTAAGAAATTACCAAGCCAAATTGCCAAGTGATGAACCAAACCTATACGTCATGTATGTACTGGCATCTTTATACCAGTACTTTTTTTTCTGCATAAACCAAAGAAGTGACAGCAAAGCAGGAGTTCAGCTGTTTTCACTTCTTGAATAATGCTGACATCTTCAGATTTTCACAAGGTCATACCACAGGTGCACTTGTGGTGCCGCTACATGTACATACATGTACGTGTTCATGTTCAAGATACAACCGAGGATGTCTTACATTAAATTGAATGCACAAATCAGAATGTGTCCATGCTAACACACATACCAATGCAGTACACACCTCAGGGCACAGGTACAAAGTAATTCCATGGGTAAACAGATTGAAATATTGGCAGGGATTTTCACAATGTACATGTACACGTACTTTACATGTACGTATCCTATTCTGTCATGTATGTTTTGGTTTATACTGCATAATAAAAACCCAAACAAGTTGGCAAATGAACAGTAATCACACAAGAAAAATATTACAAAGATAAGACCTTGATATCTGTTTATTTTGCTTGTTTTCCAACATCACTATTCCAAATTAATCCCTTCAGTCTGTGAAAAACAAAATTTGAAACTAAGTCTGACTTTTGCACAGAATTGTCCTTCAGATTTATTCCATCTGAAGTTTCTACATGTACATGTAGCTTCACTCTTTAAAAACCAGTTTTTCCACAAACACTGGTGCCAAACAGATAGACACCTACTTAGAACCTAGAATAAAAAGATCAATGGTCCCAAGAAATGGGATATGATGAAAGCAGAGTTGATTTAACCACACAGACCTTTCACTACAAAAAAATCAGTAAATTTGCTTGTTAAGCGTAAGCTCTACCATGGTATGAAATTACTGTGGAAGAAGGTACATGTACATGTAGTTCTGCATTAATCCTACCATATCAGAGGCTGGTGTTTGGTTACAAGGAGTAATCTTTATGACCCCCAAGAGGAGCATCATCCTGGGCTCCAGCTTTACAAAGCTAAATCTTCCTCTCGTATTACCAAGCGTTCCAGGGCTCATATTGTCTGGGAAAAAAATGAATGTAATCCTACCAGTAGGGCAGGTAGACCCTGCCATCCAAATTTGAAAGGGCATTCTCTGGCAGAGGCCTCTGACCTTGAGCAGATTTTAATCCCTAACTCAGGATCAAATCTGAATGATTTCCAAAAAGTCATATTTTTCCCCAAAAGAAAGTAGAAAACTTTGCTACAAAAAATGTCGCAAGATTCTTCTTTCACCTCACCCCCTCCCCAAAAAATCAGTATTGTGAATACAATTTGGCAGCATTTAAAAATATCTTTTCAACCCTGTACAGGTACACATTTGACCACGTCCTGGCATTGGTAGGGTTGGCGATTATTTGAGGGACCATCCCCTTTCCCAGCCACACAATATGTACAGTACATGTAAGTTCTGTTTCTTCTTAATAATCCTGTAGAATTACAGATTCTCAGCATTTTTGAAGGGAAAAACCTAACACTGCACAGCGTGACCAAAAGACATTATAGCAAAACTCTGGTGTTGGTTTTTTGGTACATGTCATTTTTCGAAGTGACAAAAAGGTAAGTTGGCAGTATTTTATCAATGACATTACCATCTGCCAGGCACAAGTTTCTGTTTATATGGTGTACACTAACACAATTATGGTTGTAATTTGATCAATTTTGGACCATCTGGCTGTAGATTCAATATCATCATACACTGTATCTCGTATATCTCAGCAAGACTGATGCAGCCTACCAGCCGATCAAAGAAGTACAGTCACCCTTTGTGGAACAGGGCTGACCTCTGTGGAAAAGAAAGGGAGGTGACTCCACCCCCTCCACTGGCACCTGTTGATACCAGGTACCGACACATACACATGTGCATGTAATGAGCAGGATGAGTTTGCGTCCATTTCCTGGCAAAGATTGGGGATTGCTGAAGCCGGTAAATGTGAACAGCACTGGTCCACAATGCTGGCCAAGCTGAAACTTCAGTATTTTCAAAAATGCCTGTAAATGTACACGTTCGTGTACACGTAACAAAAATATGGGGACATAATCTACTGTGACATTAGCTCCATATTGGGAACAACTGGCCTTGGCCAGAAGCTAAAACAAACATACTGGTAGGTGTCTATGCCAAATGGTTAGAGCCACTTTCTCATGGCTCACAGAGTAGACATACATGAGCTTTTATTAAGGTCCACATGTTTATTGCCAGCCACTGTTAAATTTTTAAGGAAGTGCAGTGAGGTTACTCAGGTCATGGTTCAGGGAAAGCTGAATAAATAACTACAATCTTACTCTCCAGAAAAGGAAATTAGATCCTGATTACCAGCACATCACTGATATTCAACTGATCCTAGAATGTGCTTACTTTCCAACCACTTTCTCATCTTTACCCTTTTATGACAAAAAAAGGTCTTTACCCTGACTGTTTTCCTGGTAAAATAAAAAAATTCCCAAAACATCAAGACAGATAGACTAGTAGAGTAACTTAATAATTTTACAAGGGGAATTTTTTTCAAATTTTAAAAATCCAATACGCACTGTTTAACCACTTGCTGCCGGGTGGATTTTCTTGAGCAAGACAAGATGCCGGGTCCTTTTCAAGATTTTCCATTTTCAAAATTCTTCAAAAATTCATCATTTCATTTAATGGCCGTTTATACCCACATGAAGGACTCTTTGGCTCTCTAAAGCTGACAGGTAACCTTCATTGACTCCTGAATACTTCTGCGAGGTCTACAGCCTTGGAAAAAGAGCCCAGATTGTGCGGTGTTAGGTAGGATTCTTTTGTTCCCGAAACCAGCACAGTGCACTGCTGACCTCTTTTCAAAAGGGGCCAGATTAGCGTTCAGTAGCTCATCGCTGCTGTGGTGGAGAGCTTTTGTCCCGGTGGTAATTCGCTCGCTCTAAATGCCTCAAACTGTGGTATACTGTTTCAAAACAAGGCTGGATTATCTCCACTATTGAGAGCAAAAAATTTCAGTAATGCCCAGCAGCTCAGTCTTTTGTGCTGAGCACTGTCTCTTGTTATAAGGCCCAACTCTTTTGTCCCAGTTCTGGGCTCCTCGGCTCTGCGTATAAAAGCCTATGTACTCGAAAACGGGTTGCCCGGCAGTGAGTGGTTAAGAATACTACCGGTATGTGTACTTATGCTATATTAGTGACAAAACTACTTTCAGTTTACAGGTTTTGTTTCAATTTATGAAAAAAATAACTCAAAATTTTGAAACTTTCCTCATTGTTCACACTGTTGCTTGTATCTGGTCTTGTGCCTGGTCTTGTGCGTGGTCTTGTGCGTGGTCTTGTGATGGTCTCAACTACAACACTGGTGTCAACCAAAACATAAACTTGTTCCAGTATTTGATTGATTCATAGAATCCTACCCATCTGTTTTTGTTCTTCAATCAGCAGACCCAGTGCCTGAATACTGAATTCACAACATGTGCTGTTCTATGGTCATCAATTTCACCTGTATTCTGCATACACACNTGAAACACAAATGAATTCTTGTCTGGTCATTTATCTTTCAATTTCTTTTCAATTTTTTGTGGGTTAACAAATTACATTTCTAATTATTCCCACAAAACAAAATCACCCCCCCAAAAAAAGTGATTTTTCCGAAGTCTGGTTGCAGCCATTTTTCAAGTGGCAACCCTCAACTTTCTCAACTTTCTTTCTCAAGCCCTTCTGCTCTCATATGAAAGCTCAAAGACCCAGGGAGTTGATCCTGACAACAATTTACACAATCTCACCATTTTGGGGGCCAAACAATCTCCTTTTTCAAAAGATACTGGGGGGGGCATTTTTAAATCTAACGAGCTGGCCAGAAATTCTCACTTGAATTAGTGGTCTGCACCCTAAAGCAGTGATGTCAGCATCGACTTGCCAAACACCAACATTTGGGCTGT